CTTTTTATCTTTTAGGTTAAGAGCAATCGTAGCTTCAGCTCTAAGAGCGGAGTGAACTAGCCCTTGTATTCTCTTTAGCCCTGCCATAGTTGTTGGTTAATGGTTGGAGCAAATCTCAGGGAAGGTCAAAAACTCCCATTATCGAATTTTATATTTACCACCGTCAGATATATGTATATGTACTTATTGAAAATAAAATATTCTGGTAGCTACAGATATAATAATATTAAAATATTATATTATTCTAACATTTCAATTCTTTCAAGGTGCGTATGAATATTACTTCTTACATCAGAAAGCCTCCACACGGTTTTTTATAAGTAGTCTGCGCAGCCTATTTATAAAGTGAACCAGTAAAGAGCATGAACTCAAACTCTATTTTAAATGCAACTGAGAGAAATTTATTATACATATTTGAGAAATGAATCTGTAGTGGTAGACAAGTAAATAAGATAAACCAATCATATTCATAAATTAAACAAATTTTTAGACATATATTTGCTACCACTGTCTTACTTTTACTAGATTTTCTATTGAAGGGCTCTTTCGTAAACGGGTTTACCTTCACGGTGGTCTGATCGGACTACCTATAAAAATCCGTGTGGAGGCTTTCAGTTGTACGAGACGTTGGTATGAACCTAAATCATATTACAGACTTCGATTTATTCAATATTTTCTCAAATCTTTTGAGGATCAATAATATCGAAATAAATTTTGAGAGATTAAGTACATTGTGTTTTAGCATGCATTTTGCTAACCCATTAGGAGCCATATAATAATAAACATGTTAATGTTTTCTTAAAAATTTAAACTGGTAGTAAATTATATGCTTTATCATACGTGCCAACTCTCCCGGATTTTGCGGTAGATTTTATTTTCATATTTAAAGTGGTAGTAAATATATACTATTTTTTCTTTTATAAATTTAATTTTTAAATGATTTTGATCACCAATATTCTTACAAAAATTAAGCTTATATATTAATATGCATTACTATCATGGTTGTCAACTTAATTTTTTTCAAATACAACGTATTTGTTTGCTTAAAATTGAAGTTTCAATTCCATTTTAATACCACTGGGAAAAATGATAATGGAAGGGATTAAAAGTTGGCAGGTCTGGCTTTATCTTTATTTGTTCATTCAATAATTTTATTTTCAATAGTTTTGATCATCACTTAATGTAAACAATTTATGCCTTTCCCGTCTGGAAATACTTTATCTAGAAATATAATAAATCCCTGAAAATATAAAACTTTTTGCTTTAAGCTTTTACCAATGTAAATAATAGGAGAATAAAGTAAAAGGTGTAAAGCGATGTAGGAATAGAGTAAAAAAAAAGATAAAAAATATGTCTTATATAAGAATAAACTGTATTCTACTACTTGTACTTCAACTTCCCCAGTTTTCAAAAATAAGGCTTTTAAATTTAGACTAATCAGTTAAGACTGCTTTGCGGCAGCGTATTAAGGTTTGCGTGCATTTTCCAACGATTCCAAGAGTACTAAAAAGTCACGGCTGCTAATGTGTTGACTTACTAAATTTGCAACCGAAATTTGCTATTCCGCAAAAGGTTAAATAAATATATAAGTCATGATTTTCGCGTAATGAACTTCGTAATTGCAAACAATCTTAAGCATATTAAGCCTAACCTTGATAATCCTCTAGCTGTCACTTAACACGTTCACGCCGGGAAAAGTGAAAATACTGGTATGGGAAAAGAGAAAATACTGGTAGAAGAACTATTTCAATATTAGATAATATTCGGGATGAGTTAATCTATTCTCAACCATAACAATTCACTGTAGGGAAATTTATCACGGCGAAGAAGCATTTCAATATAAAAATTGCATCCGTTAAAAACAATTGGTAGTTATGAATTTTTATTATTCCCGGAAAAAAAACTAAAAAATGAAATTTATTTGTTACCAGTTTTTATTCTGGTGGGCCGCCGAGATGAGACAATCTAGCGTGAACCACCGGTGGGTCACCCCGGCGTGAACGTGCTTATGTATCATGGGTATCTATGATTTCCGGTTTGTGATGTATGGCACTGCTGACAACTACTACGCTTTTTGCAAAATATTTTATTAAGTGGCAGACAATTAAAAACTAACACCTACAGAATTTTTCGTAGTTTTGCTAACATTTTAAAAGCCCCACCACTAGTGGTTTGGAGTTGAGTTGAATTGAGTTGAAGATGAGGATCAGTGCTAATCGCTTTTATCCTCTTTTTCTTTAAGTTGAATTCAGAGATTAGTTGAGTTGGTGATGATGAAGAGGTGAAGTTACAAGGTGATCGCATGAAAAGGAACATAGAACCTTTCCGATGCTTGGTTTACAGTTGTCGATGAATTTCAAATCAGAATTTGGGGGATTAAAACACTTTCTGAGTGACAGTCATTCGTCAGAGGAAAAAAACTCTTAACGGAATCACTGTTTTCCTCAGGCTACACCAGCAGAGAAGATTGGAAAATGTAGAAACTAAGATTGTGTACGAACAAGTACCCGGCCAACCAGGCTTAAGGTTGGTAGGGCACTGGACCCATATCCAAGAGGTCGCGGGTTCAATTCCCGCCGGTCGAAGACTCCCCGTGTAGTAAATGGTGACTACATGGTAAAGGGTCCATAATGACCTAGGCACATGTCCAAAGCTTGGAGAAAAGAAAAAAAAAGTAAATGGTGACTGATGCACGTTAAATCTGTCGAATCACAAAGTCCTCCATGTTCCCATATCAAATCATACCTCTGGGGATGCTGATCCAGGAGTTTCCTCGTCTTCTGGATTGGTTCAAAATTGCAAGGTAGCGGAGTTGAACATTAGTAATCGTAAACCCAAAATTGAGTCAGCTGTTCAACCACGGTTATAAAATTTAAAAAAAAGTGATATTTGCGGACTCAAAGGGTGAAATTAAAATGAAGTGATTAGTTAATTTAGTGGAAAGATGTTAATGAAAATTGGAAAAGTGAAAAAGAGAAGGAAACGCAAGCAAAAACATTAAAAAAAAAACACATACAAGGAAATCAAATTAAGCATGGGATTAGTAAAATAGGTAGATCACAAACACGTCTTTTTTAATTATTAGTAATAAGCTGAAATGAGTCAAATAAATTAGGGTTTCACAGAATTCCTATTTAAAATAAGGAGACACCTCGCCTAAGCAATAGGGAAATGTTATATTGTGAAAGAAATTTAATCACTACACGCGCGCTGCTCACCACACGTGCTCATCGGACTACACGTGCTTCTTACATGCCTCATATGAAACCTTGAACTTGAACTAAATTCACTTCTCACTTTCATCTGTGCCCGCGGGCACCCGGAATCATGGCATTGTTGTGGATATTGGCGGTGAATAGCGGAGGCGGTGGTCAGACTAAATCTAAGTACATTTATTCTATACGCATGAAAAACCGTATTTAGGGTGAAGAATCCTTGAAAAAACGGGTTCTTTATATTACGCTTCCGAATCATTTACAAGTAGTGGTGTGAAAAAGAACTTTAAATCAAATTTATAAAATAAAGAATGATACATTAAAAGTGTGTTCCTCAACCTTTTTATCACCGCGGATATGTCAACGATTGATAAATTTTACCGCGGGCGACGTTTATTGTTTATATTTTAGATTATTTTGATTTATTAATTTTACTTTAATTGTATTTAAACATGCCTTCAACATAAAATACAGTTACACCAAAAATAAATATGAAGTGTTTTAACCCTTTAATGGGCCCTTTATTTCTAGTGAAGGTAATTTAAAGTATTTTTGGAATTGAAATTGTTTTAAGAACAGTAATTGATATAAAAAAAAACTCATTTAGTTTATAAAAGTGCCATTTTTTTGGAGGTAAATATAATTAACGCGACCTATTAGGAACTTATTGACTTTTATTTTGAACACAATTTGAAATGTGTCTCANATTTTATAACTTTTATACGTTTTTTAAAAGTGACAAATGGTTACCAATTTTATTCAAACTCACTTCACGAAAGTTGAAGTTATTGAAAAATGGAAACCTAAATTAAAAGTGGTAAAACGTGGTGGTAAGTATACTTATCACGGCCTTCAAAAGGGTTAATTTACTAGAACGTTAAATCAATGAAAGCCCTGAGCTTGTTTCTTTGCAATGAGACGGTTCCATCTGGGAGTAATCGGAAACAATGATTCATTACAAATATTAAAAAATTTATGTCACTACCTTCGGGGTCCCCTTTTTTTTAATAAATAAAATTTTAATGGAACACAGATATTTTTAATTTCGGGTAAAAACCTAGGAATTTAAATTTAGTTTCAATGAAATGGGCGGCCCGGTATCATTTGATCCCCTGACCGGTACCGGACCGGGGGTTGGGGAACACTGCAAGCATGAACTTATCTACCACTAGGAGAAATTTTTCCAAAAAGTGTTTAAAGTTGTTAGGTATGTATAGAGTTAGTTTAAAAAATTGTTATTTCTTGAAAACTAATAAATAAAATTATATCAATAATTTATAAATGCCTTTTTCCATGCATAAATACCTGCGTCATTTTGCTCTGCTAAAATCGAAAGAGCTTATTCCATAGTAGCTTAAAAAAGTTTTTTTTCAAAATCAATTTTTGATGAGGTACTAAAACCTTTTCTTAATAACCGTCATTGAACAGCCGACCCAATTTCGGGTTTGCGATTACTAATGTTCAACTCCGTAGCCTTGCAATTTTGAATTTAATTTAGAAGACTTAAGAGTCAAATATTGGAAAAATTTTGCTTTCGTGGAGGATTTTTTTGATGGAACTAACCCTCATTTGCGTTACTAGGAGAGAAAAGCCTCCAATCATTAGCCTGCAGGCAAGGGGACTCTAACCTATGATTCGTCTACCATTGAGGATATTTTACGCCATCACTGTTGCTGGTGTGAGCCGGGTGCGGAATTCGTATTTACCAGCTATCGCTAGGAATCGAACCCGGTTCAGCTCATTAAAAATCGAGCCCTCTATCAACCGAGCCTCCACGGCTCTACTTAAACCTTTGGCGAATATTAACAACGGCGACATACAGTGTATTCTTATTGTAGACAGGGACCGATCAAAACAAATTTAGGCCCAAGGCCCACAAATTTTCCGGATCCTTAACAAAATATTTTGAGATTAAATTTCTGAACAGTAGTCCTAACTATAAAAAGAATTTATTGAACTACATGATTCAAGAGAAACATTCTAAAAAGGTTTGAAAGCAGACAATTGAAGATTATTTTTCTGAGATAAATTTTCCGCGTATCTAAATAGTAAAGCTACATATAAAACAACAAAACAATGTTGTATAAAAATAAAAATAGTTTGGTGACCAAAAACAAGTGAAATCAGTGATTTTTGCAAGTCACTGATTAGTTGAATTATTTTAAAGATTGTAGCCTTCCATCTACAGCTTTACATATTTGTTAAGAATAATCTTTTAGTTCTTGTTGACACTAATCATTTATAAAAGACTTTGCGAAAATGCATTCTCGTTGCATTTGCTTAAGCTGTTGGAGTAAAAATTGCACCAATTGAAATTCAGCTGTACTTTCGAATTTCATTAGTGCAATCTTTACAGGTGTTTCGTTTTTCACAATATAAAGAAAATTTGAAATTAAAAATGTCTTTTTTGAGAAAAACTGTTTCTTTCGGTATTTTTTTTTTTTAAAAAAAAGTAATATTGTGGACTTTTTACAATTTTTTGAGGCCCCGCAGAAAGTGTGGACCCTAGGCCCATGCCTATTGGGCTGAGGCTATAATCGGACCCTGAATGTAGAGGCACACTTTATAGCTTTCATGCTTAGAGAATCGTGGTTGCTAATAACTGGTGAACGCTTAGAACCAAATAGTTTTAATCAATTAATTAATTAATTTATTTTTAAATTTGTAATTCGTAACATTTTTGGATTGAGTGTTGTCAGCTTGTAACACTTTCCCGGAAAGGGCAGGCCACAAACTATTGAACTGAAAATTATGTCTGTTATTCTTTGGATATAATTTCTTAAAATTAAAGTGAGATCTGTAAATGAAAAACTGTCTGCTATATTAAAAATAATAAATAAATTAGCTAACTCTCCCCCCCCCCTCCAATTATTTCTATGTACTTCTTCAATACCTTCTTTAATTCAATCGTCACTTCTCACAATAACGCAGTACCCATTACCGGGTAAAATTTTAAATAAAAATGTTAAGGAAAGGTTAAATAGACAAATCACTTTATACATATTCTCATCTACCAAAATATATTTAAATGTTAAAATTATCCTACTTAGTACCTCAAACTAAAATGAAATTAAAACATTTAAAATTTCCATAAGCCCCGTAGAGCGTTTTTTCAATTTTCTTCAATAGTGGCCATCCTGAATACAGCATTCGGAATGTCCGAATAAGGCATTCATAATGTATCACCAGTTTAATATCTTACCACAATATGGAGTCTCTGCCTTCGTCATCAAATAGTAGATACCATTGCCATGTGACTTGTAGCCCATTCGACCACAAGTATCTGAACAGCTCATGCATTTGCCAAGCTCAAAATCTTTGTAATTTTCACACCTATAGGCCGTGTATTCACAGGGAGTGCGATTCAGAACAGAATCTGTAAACAGGTGCACTGCACGTTCGTGATTGCAAACACGTTCTCTCAAATTCTCTGTAAGGAGAATTAAAAAATAAATAAGTTGTATCAATCAGTAGAACAATAATTAAACTATAGAAAAGAAAATTCATTGCACAAATATTTGGAAATATTGCTCAATGCAGCGACCACTCTCTGTTCCCCAGTAAAATGATCGTTAATAGAGGTTGGTCGTTCTTAGGGGTTACCTCCATTGACTTCAAAATGCTATCGAAGGTGCATGATTTTTCGTAAGCCATTTTAATTTTACTCAGTGTCAGTTTCTTGGTGCAGAAGACCCACTTGCGTTGACTTCATGAAAACTGGATCGATGAATCAAACTTAGCGTCAATAAAAATGACCCTTAATTATGTGCAAAAACAAATTCACCAATTATGAATGATGGAACTATTTTAAATAAATAAACAATAAAGTTTTTTTTTTTTTTTGTTTAAGTTTACGTTTCATTTTATATCATAAAAATTAGTTTGCTTTTAAAAGTGGGAAGATGTTTGTTTGCTTGAGAGATGCTTAGCTGTTTGCAAAATAATTTTTTTTTTCTAATTTAACTTGCAACTCTAAAAATAAATCTTGAGTCCCGCAGTGGACTGATCGTTAAGACACGGTTCCCAGCAGATCACCGAATTCAAGCGTCCCTGGCTGTGGTCAGTGTGCGGGTGGGTTGACTACTTGGATCAGTCTACGTAGGGACACATGGTGCGTGGTATTGGTCCTCGTTAAACTGTTATAC